TTGTTGTTTTTGCTCAGCAGTTCTTTGTTCAGCTTGTTGTTGTTGAGCAGCAATTTCTCCATTGGAAGAATAGGTTGATGGAGGAGCTTGTTTATTTCTCTTTCCAACTGTCTTTCCACCTCCCATCAATAAAGAAGCTCCTTTGGTAATTTTACTGCAAAATCCTCTTTTTCCTTTCTTTGGTTGACCACCAGCTTGTTGACTGGTTGAGTCTCCTCTGAAACCTCCTTTTCTTTTTAAGGAAATGATGAAGGTGATATCAGAAAGTTCTTCATTGGAAGAGAAGGCAAGAGTTGAAGATGAGTGTACGTATACAAACAGCTCCGAGAGTGGTTGATGGTTTAAGTGGATTACTTCGCGTTAGTTTATCCAACTTAGTAAGCTAAAAATTTGATAAATTGAATGGTAATTGTATTGATGAATAGTAATGATTGTTAAGATCAAATTATTTATTGAAGGTTTTTCACTACAACTAGACCCTCCAACAATCCATTTCACATGGAGTTGGATTTTTGATTGTTCAACGTGACTATTTTCAATGATTTTTACAACATTTGTGTTCTCTTCTCCGATTTGGAACATTGTCAACACTAGCAAGTTGGTTTCGTAAAGATATTTCAATAAAGAAGAGTGTCACTTTGAAATAACGCAAAAACAATTGGTAACACACTATGTTCAATGTCGTAAACAGAAGACTGCTATTAGTCTTTTCAAAATTTGAAAAAAATGTTTAACAAAACCCATTGTTTACTAGTTACTTTGATATTATTCCTATTGTTTGCTCAATCAGCTGTTGCCTTGATTGATCCAAATGATTTGAGTGAAATAAAAGAGACCATAATNTACCCTTTCCAACAGTTCTAACATTACATGTAGTACATGTTCTGAACAATTACTTCCATTCTTGAATGACATGTGTTGGAAGTATAACACCAATACTAGAGAGCAAATTGTTTCATTCTTGTCTATCTCTATTGATAAAGAACCTAACCAAAAATTGTTGAATGAGGTAATTGCTAGTGTTGCTCCAACCATTGTTGAACTTAAAACAGCTTCTCAGACTATGGAAGAAAAGAAGACTGATCTACTTTCTGGATGGTTATCAACTTATGGATTCTACCCAAAAGGAAATGGTCAACCAATTGAGAGAGTTATTGGGTTTATTGTTACCAACTGGGCTTCACCTTCAACCACCTTACACATTCTTCTAAATGCCAGAAATATTCGTAATTTACTCAATACTAGACCTGCTTCTTCTGAAGTATTAATGTTTTCATTGATGAATTACTTGAATAGTTTGAATAGTCTTGCCTACAGTTCTAAACCAGTTTGTTCTAGATTGGAATGTCATTAAATGCGTTTTAACAAATTTGGTATTTAATTAAATTGAATTGAACATTACACCTGTCTGAAATTGCTTGTGAAAGTTCTGAATATTCTTATATCTAGAATTGTATTCTCAATTTTTCAGTATTCGATACCTTATTTAAATTAGATTCTTCCTCACTAAAAACTTTCATATTTCCTCTTTAATATCTTTCAAAGAATCCGAAAGATATCCAAACATCCCTTAACAAGTAAGATTTGTTGGGCGACGAATTGTATGTAAAGGTGTTGGTTGACCAATAGAAACATCTGTTCCATCCTTGTAGTGATGAAGATTGATTGTCAGCAATTTTGTGGAATGATATGTTTTTC